AAAAACCTTCCACAAAAAGGCCGTGCGCGACCGGCCACGAGCAGTTGTACCCTGGGCTCTGCGGTCACGCTCCCAGGTCGTCAAGACCAACACTAATCCAATTTCCTTTTCAGGTTCCTCAAGAAATACCCTTCCACGGTGTGGGCAGCCGGGAAGTGACATCAGCCCTCATACACCTCCTAATACCTCTCTTATCTCCATGACTAACCCTCCTCACGTCTCTTTATCACCTCGCACCGCTAGGGCAAACGATTCGAGTACGTGGAACGCCATTCCTGGTCTCCTGAAACCACGCTCTAAACTACACGTAGGAGCTTTTAACGTACGAACACTTTGCCAAATAGGACAGCAGGCTTCCTTAGCTAAAACTTTAGAATCTCGCGCCATCGATGTGTGCTGCGTCTCCGAAACGCGCATACAGGATCCAAGTAGCGTCATTCATTTGACCTCACCATGCCAAAATAAAGAACCGACTCGATTTACGCTTCGTGTATCTGGAAGCCCTGATTCTGCTTCCCGTGGCCTCGCCGGCGTAGGTATAGCATTGAGTCCTAGGGCAGAACTAGCTCTCTTAGAGTGGATCCCAGTAGACAGTCGTTTGTGCGCTGTCCGACTGAACGGAACAGTAAGAATCCGGAAAGATAGGGACACTCGTCGTTGCCTCTTCGTCGTCTCTGCCTATTCTCCCACTGACTGCAGCTCAGATGATGTAAAAGATGAGTTTTACAGAAAGCTTTCGGACCTTCTCCGAAAAGCTAGGCGCTCGGATGTAGTAATAGTGGCCGGTGACTTTAATGCTCAAGTAGGTAAACTAAGCGATAGGGAAAGACACCTAGGTGGATCTTATGGTGTCGTGGCTCAAAGAACAGATAATGGCGACCGTCTGTTGCAGCTATGCTCAGATAACCGCCTGTTCCTTGCAAATACTAACTTTAAGCATAAGGAAAAACATCTTTTAACATGGCGACCCCCTAATTCGTCCCAACGTTGGACCCAAATAGATCACATCGCTATCAGCCACCGATGGAGGGGCTCGATAGAAGACTGTCGCTCATTCTGGAGCACATGCCTAGATTCAGATCATGCTCTAGTGCGAGCGCGTATTTGCTTGCGTCTTACTGGACGTAGGAAAGACGCTGCAAGGAAACCTCTTAGGGCCTACTTAATGATAGTCAAGCTAAGAGTATATTTCAGGAACAACTAGGAAAACAGTTAGGCAGCCATGTATGTGATGCCCACCCCGATGCAGCATGGAATGATATCCGAAAAGCTGTGGAAACAGCAGTGATATCTGCTAGTAAGGTAAACCAGAAGGTTAGGGAGCAACACTGGATCTCAGCAGCATCTATCGCACTGATAGATGCTCGGAAACTCATTCCACCTGGCTCTGAACATAATGAAGAGCGGAGTCAGCTTAAGCGCAAGCTGACAAGAAGTCTACGCAATGATCGCGAACAGTGGTGGGTAGCGAAAGCAAGAGAGATGGAAAAGGCAGCGGCAATAGGTAATAGCAGACAATTGTTCAGACTCGTTAAGGAAACCGGAATTAGGAACCCGACCGTTAGCGAAACAATCTCAGAGAAAGATGGACATATTATTCATTCTCAATCCAGGAGATTGGATCGATGGGCAGAACACTTTAGGGATCAGTTCAACTGGCCTTCAGCCACACTTCGGTTTCCCACGATCTCCAGTCAACCTGAATGGCAAGTTAATGTAGGTCCTCCGTCCCTTTACGAAGTTGAAAAAGCCATAGGAAATCTGAAACGAGGGAGAGCAGCAGGCCCTGACAGGTTTACTCCTGAGATTTTTAAGGATGGTGGTCCAGTATTAGCAATGAGATTAACTGAGGTCTTAGGTAGAATTTGGGAACTGGACGTAATCCCATCTGACTGGTCTCAATCACTGATTGTGCCAGTCTATAAGAAAGGACAAAAGTCCTCTTGTGACAATCACAGAGGAATCAGTTTGACTAATATAGTGTCTAAAATATTAGCTTCAATAATACTTCGACGCCTAATCAAAGCTCGTGAAGAGCAGACTAGAGAAAACCAGGCTGGTTTTCGACCTGGACGTGGTTGTATAGATCAGATATTCACACTACGTCAGGTTCTAGAACACAGACACACATTCAGACGCCCCACAATGGTAGTATTTCTCGACCTTAAGGCGGCATTCGACTCTGTTGATCGTGAGGTTCTATGGCAGTGTTTGTCACTGAAAGGAGTACCAAAGAAGTACATTAACCTTATAAAGGCTCTCTACTCGAACACAACTGGTAGAGTGAGAGCTTATGGCGAACTGTCATCAGAATTGATTACCTCAAGTGGTGTTCGTCAGGGCTGTCCACTCTCCCCATTCTTGTTCAACTTTGTGGTCGACGTACTTTTAGAGATAACACTCTCCTCATCTAAATTTCCAGGGGTTGAACTTCTACCGGGAGGTTCACTTGTTGACTTAGAATATGCTGATGACATAGTTTTATTTGGTGAAGACGCTGACAAAATGCAGAGTCTTCTGACCACTCTAAGCAACAATGCAAGCATGTTCGGGATGCGATTCTCTCCCTCGAAATGCAAAATGTTGCTTCAGGATTGGGTTACATCGACACCCGAACTAGTGATAGGGAGTGAAGTAGTTGAGTGTGTCGACCGCTTCACTTATCTTGGAAGTCTCATCAGCCCTTGTGGTTTGGTGTGTGACGAAATCTCAGCACGGATACAGAAGGCTCGACTAGCTTTTGCCAACTTGCGTCATTTATGGCGTAGGCGAGATATCCGTCTATCAACCAAAGGACGTGTTTACTGCGCAGCAGTTCGTTCCGTCCTACTTTATGGCAGTGAAACATGGCCGGTAAGAGTAGAGGATATTCGTAGGTTACTAGTATTTGATCATAGGTGTCTTCGAAATATTGCTCGTATATCATGGGACCATCGAGTAAGTAACACAGTTGTTAGGAAACGGGTACTAGGTAAGGATGGCAAATCAATTGATGAAGTAGTGAAACTTCATCAGTTGAGATGGCTGGGACACGTGTTACGTATGCCCAACGACCGACTGCCTCGACGTGCTATGTTCAGTGGTATAGGAGTAGGTTGGAAGAAAGCTAGGGGCGGCCAAACCAAAACATGGCACAAGTCCATGAAGTCACTGACAAGTGAACTGAGTCATGTTGGTAGGTGTAGACTACCTGGTTGGGGACCGCGAGATGATAGCAACCGATGGTTAGAGACCCTGAATGACATGGCTCAAAATCGTTTGCAATGGCGCAGGTGCATCCACTCTCTGTGTTCTCCCAAATTCTAATCTTCTGAATTCTTCATGTCCCTTTTTTCCTCTTTCCAAATTTATTTCACTGGATTATACTCTTTAAATAACATCTCCAAACCCTAATCTTCCCGATTACTGCTTATACTCTTGCTACCTCTACCACTACGGGATTTGAATCGACAACTGCATCTCTGTGCTAATGTGGTGTGGCAACTCGAACTGATGTACGTACGTACGAAGTTCTACGTTGTTACTGACTGACTGACATTGTTACTAACATCATTCATCAATGAATATTGAAGGACAAGTTACTATAACATGGTGCTTAATAGTGTAGATAAGTAGTTACTGAATTTTTGTAGAACCAAGCTTTTATGTAGTGGAATTAAAATGTAGATAAATAAAGAATCTTTTACATTGATCTGGTAATTAATATTACACCACAGAGAAGGATATGTCTTTTTTATGATCGGATACACTCGTCCACTAAATGTTCGACTTCTTACAATCATTATGCTCAATTTAATCCAACAAATGCTCTAGGTGTGATAATTATCATAGAACGATTTCGTCTTTCATACAGAACATTATAACACACAACTGAATTACGTATGTTAGTAAGTTATATACAGTATTCAGTTTTGGAACAAATAGACTTGATAAAAATGTCAGGATATTGAATTTAACAGTGAACTAATTCATGAATAGTACATATTCAACGTTGTCAAAATACTAAACTATAAATGTAAAGTTTATGTAACAGTTTCATTTTACTAAAAAGAACAAGGAGAATATTGAAGGACTGATTATTGGCTTCCTTATTTAGTTAGTGTTGCATGAAATTCTGTTTCTTTTTCTTTTCAAGATTAATTTTACACTTCTATTTATTTATTTGTGGTGTAACAAATTTTCTAGAGAACTGTCCAACTATTCACTGTTTGAGATAAATACTGTAAAATGAATACTTGGCAAGAATTGAATCAAAAGAATTTAATAAACTAACCTATAGACTTTATTTATTGCTTGTTTTTATTCAATTAATATAATTCTGTAGAAATATACAATTAGAAAATTAAATAGTTGGAATCATGAATCAATTGAAGCTAGACCACCATGGAAAACCCGAAAGCAATGGACGGCCGTTTCGTCCTAGTATGGGACTCCTCGACAGTGCGCATCCACGATCCCACACCCCGCGGGACTCGAACCCAGGACCTACTGGTTTCGCGCGCGAGCACTTAACCACTAGACCACTGAGCCGGCATCCAACGGTGTTAATGTCTAACTTCAACTAATCCATGAAGTCGCGCCACCGTACACCATTGTCTTCAATGAGCTGATATCTCACACAACAGTAAAGTTCAACCAGGTCTGATAGGTTCTGGGTTCGAATCTCGCGGGGGCAGGATCATGGGTGCGCACTGCTGACTAGTCCCATACTAGGACGAAACGGCCATCCAGTGCTTCCAGGTTTTCCATGGTGGTCTAGTTTCAATTAACTCATGATTTCAACAATTAAAATTTGTGAAAATCTCCACAAAACCCCTTCTGATAATTAGAAAATTCCTTTTTATATCTCTTACTCTTCATGGAGCATTGGTTGTTTTAAAATTACATCTAGTCAAATATTTCTAAACTCATACTACAGTTGAGTATTTCAGTAGTTACAATATAATATCATGAGTAATTTTCCTTTTTTTTCTTACTTCTCATCAGACATAATTAGTAAATTTATTCCATAGAATTAGAAAATAATTATATTTTAGTTAGAAGTTAATAAAGAGCAAAAAGCAATTATAAAATGTAAATTACTTTTAATAAAATGAAATAAAATATATTTTGATAAATGATATTCATACATGTGAAAGTGAAATTATTCAAGGAAACATATCATATTTAAATATGTATTATATGTATAGAATTGCATCATAGAAAACGAGCTAAAACTGTAAAAGAAGAATGAAAGAAAGAAGTAAACAGAAACATGAATTCTTACTCATGCTGAAACATTGAACACATTCATATATACCTGTTCAATGCGATGTATTACATCGATGAAAATAGATTTGGAGAAAGTAAAATAAGGTCTATCTATGTATGTGTATGTGTGTGTGTGTAAAACAAGTAATAAAACAAAATGAAATAGAAATATTGACATTGTTTAATTTGCTAGAAAGAGAGAGAGAAAGAAAGAATGAAGAAGACAAAAGAATCATATACATTTGAAGAATAACGAAAACAGGACAATGAGATTCTGTGCTGAAACAATACAAGTTCCATAGAGTAAATATGAATAATTCATCATACATATGAAGAAATAAGTTATGATTGATCTTATAATGTACACAGAAATATTAATAATAATAATTAAGAGGTAAGTTTGATTCACATTATGTTGTTGTTAATGAGTAATACTGAACACTTTTATATAAAGACATGATGAAATTTCATTTACCTGGAATTTAAAGAGCAAAAAAAAGCAATTGGAAAACACAAGCATTACATATGAGTAGTTATTAGTGGTTAGATAAAAACTAAAAAAATGCCCATTAACTAACTGCATAGGATAGTGCTGTTAGAGGTATGAGGGCGGTTATCACTTCCCGGTCGCCCACACCGTGGAAGGGTTCTTCTCGAGGTACCTGAAAAGGAAATCGGATTAGAAGTGGTCTTAGTGACCTAAGAGCGTGACCGCAGTGCCCAAGGGACAACTGCTTGAGGTCGATCACACAAAACCTTTTTATGGGCAATTTTTGTGTTAGCTCCGTACTTGTTGAGACCTTACCGCCGGAGACGGATATCCGTGGGATAAGGCGAGGTGTGCACTTTTAGGGTCAACCTTTTCTAACCCCACCCCTCCTTGTGGGAAGGCAGCATCGCCGTCATGCTGGTTGTCTGAAGGAAGCACCTTACTGCTGTCACACCACTGTACAGTCAGTAGTACGACTTCGCCTTCGGACCTTGGGCTTGTTGCTTTTAGTCTTACCGCTCTTCAACCGACCTTTCTGACGTGGTAAAACCTTGAGGAACAGTTGTTCCAGTCAGTATAGGTCGGTTGCTTCATCACGATAGGCAAGCCCGACCACCACGTCAAGGTAGCAATAACGGTCGGGACATAGGATAGAAATAGTGGACACATTAGAATATTTAAATTCTTAATTTTAACACTAGGTGATCACTAAATTATAGATGATTGAGTGGTGACTGGTCACGACGAGACTGAGTTATTGACTTAAACCTCAGAATGATTTGAAATTAAAGATAAGACAGAAAAATAGGTTTTTACAGGTAATAAAATAATCTGCTTTTATAGGAATCACTACCACGAAATAAATACAACAAATTGTCATAGGCAATTAGAGGGAGTCGGGTTATTGGTCACTTACTAAAATCAGTTAATGTTTAGACATTAGGATTAATTATAGACCGTCATATCAGATTGGTAATCAATATCCTACTTTTTTTTTAGTCAATAGAGCTAAACAAATTTTACCTCGATCGAGTTTGAATGTGGTTATTAATCCAAATGACTCGATATTGAGTGTATTGTGTTTTGATGCGTTAGAGTAATTAACTCTCGTCCTGACAGTCGGTGATGTGAGTCTGAATCCAATGAGAAATTAATTTATTCAATATTATAAATACGCCTTGCTGATTAGTACCCACCTACTACTAGGAAACCTCGGCTTAAGTCCATTTACTAATTTATTATTATTTTATGTAATAGTTACTGACTTTAAGACCTAAACACAGGAACTTTAAAAATATCAAGATAAAGTGACTTTATTGAATATTGTATTTATCCATCAAACGGTTAATTTAAGGAGTTTCTATCGAATTTTCAATAATACAACCGATGAGAAATGAAGGATTGAAACAGTGTGATTACGATTATGAAGACACAAGGTTTTTCGTATTAACCACAAGCAAGTATAGTATAGTTATTAAACAGATATATAACCAAGACTATATTCAAAAGCAAAAATAAGGTGAATAAATAATGCAAATAACTGTCTAATTTGATCAGTAGTTTTATTCTTTAAGACAATGTTAATAAGGCGTAACTATTGTCTGTGAAGATTAGTTAAGCACATGAATCTCAACAACTGAGAAGTATTATTAGCTTTTATTCAAGTAACGGTTGTGGTTCAGATCTAACTATATATATATATATATGATTAAGATCAGAGTACTATCAGGGCTATTGGATTAACTGAATATTCCAACAACAGAATATGTCAGAACAACATAACGTGAAAACATTGATTTCCGATAAACAAACAGTTTTTTAACATATAAATTCTAGTCCTACTTACCTATCAATGTTCCATGGAATAAAAAACTTAATCAACTGGCATTCTACATTTTGTTTTGTCAATAATATTTTATAAAAGTCCAATCAGTCAAGTAAATAACGCTAAATTATAAATGACCTGATTGTGTTATGATAGTTCCAATTATCAATGCATTTTTTAAAATACTTAGACAATTTACTTTCCTCTCTCAAAAAGGATAATATACAGGTCTGATGTTTCTTAATCACTTTGTTTATATAATTAACTTTGAATATGTTGTCAACTTGAAGGTCAAAAAACCGCCTTAATGTAGACTTTGCTCATATTGAATTTTATTCAGCGAAGCTTACACTAAAGCTGTTAGAAACCTTAATGTTATACAGTCAATTTTTAAGAACATTGATCATATTTAAGTGTGAAAATAAAAAGTACTAACCACTTGATAAGCATAATAAAGATGATCCAATGTGACGAAACTCGTTATTAAATGAAGGACGATACACTCAATAGACGTATCTTTATTTATTGGAAGAATGAAACATATAACAACGGTAATTATTGAAATAAATAAACTTCTTTGTTGTGCAATGGCGCTGGGACATGACATAATTGCGCGACGATCAAACGACACTAAGAAAAAAACGAAAAAGAAAGTATAAGACACGAAAGTGACATATGTTAAAATATGTATGAATTTATTAATTTAAACACAGAAAAATTGGCACAAGGGGGCACCAAATACATATGAGCCACACAATAAAAAGTAGTAGTTAATATTGATTGATGTGAGGGTTGTGATATTGTCCGGGTGCGCGAACCAAAGCAGGGCTAAAATATGCGAATGAAGATGACATTAAAACTATAATAGGATTAATCAAACTATTAAAACTAGATTCACTTGGTGTTGTTTCACTTGTATCTTCCCATTGTTATTTAGGACTACAATTGATCAGTCTCATGTTGGAAGATACAAGTAAAACAACACCTCATTGCACAAGAAGGTGGCTATCAGGACTCAGTAGCTGAGTGGATAACGCGATGGCGTTTGAAGCGAATGGTACTGGGTTCGAGTCCCGAGGTGAACATCAGCTCTGGGATGCAGGTACATCCAGCTGACGAGTCGCGAATAGGACGAAACGCGCGTCCTATATTCCACTGCTAGCCACTATCCATCTTTGCTTATTAAAACTAGAGTTTAGATTTACCAAATCAATCACAATGACGTTAATAAATAAAGATATATATATCTGCACATCGAAAGCTATTCAACGATATTTCTAAGACACTACTCCTGATAGTGAGCATCATTTGTGAAAAATTACATTTTATTTATTGTGTTAACTTCTGGGGAAACAGGCTTATCATGATACACTACATTGACTGATCACTGAGTAGTATCCAATGTTATGCATGTTTATTACGCAGTGGAGATCAAACTTTACTGATGAAATTGAAATGTGGCCACTTGTTAGCGGGACATAGATTGGATTAAAGTATTTCCCGTGCAGGATTGTGTTGGGGCACGCTGAGTGGCTATTTCTTAACTAATCAGAGCGAGAGGGTACTTGGAGAAGATTCTAAGATTTTTCTTATTGCGATTCCTACCTCTATTCAACCTTGCTATTTAGAGTATAATTACGCCGCTGTTCAACGGTGTTCCGATTTGGGGATTTTTCGGATGAAATAGTGTTCAAGAATACTAAACAATAAGAGTAGATGGGTCGTAATAAGAGAAACCATAACACTACTAGACCAAGTGATTCAAAATGGAGTATTTTAATTCAGTAGGAAACTATGCATCTAGATTTCGTGTCACCTGAAACTCTTCAGTAAAATGTACCTACCATCTTAAGGGAGCTAATGTTCCGAATAGCTCAATGGCGATGCTTCACACTATAAAGCTATGTGAAGACTGTTGGAGTCTTACAGAAAGTAGTAGTTCACCCGATAATGCAGGTGTACCTTTTTGAAAAGGGACGAGAAGAATGAAACATGGGTCGAGTATTCTCGCTGATTACTTTTAGCCACCTAACAAAATCTAGTTATTCTGTTTAGGTCTGAAACTAGGACTATTCCTTCATTTTATCCGGGAGTTGTGTTTGGTATTCAATAAGTAGTGACCTGAAGATTTGAGAAATAATATTCAGGCTTATTTCTAAGCATGTGTTAAAATACCCATATATATGCATAACTATACTCGAAGAACAACATGATTTCTCGTTTAAAGCATTATTCAGATTGATTAGACGTAACACAGGCTTGCCGGCTCGATCACAAATAGGTCTAAAGTGTATTACATTTATTTCGGTTTCGGCAGTTGATTAGTACCATACAGATAGAATTATAAAAAGGAGTTAAGAGCTCTAACAGATAAGTCCCTACATTGGTATGGCATTGCATTATAGCCTGATAAAAAAGCTTAGGTCATCCAAGACAATAGTAACAGTATAGAGATTTTTGAATAAAACAACTGATATAGTTGTGTGGGATAAACGTTGGATTACACGTGCATCAAAACACAATATTGTATGATGAATAAAATAATACCGGGCGTTAATAGGAAAACAGACTTCTAAACACAATTTAAATCCACGAAGTTGCGCCACCGTACACTATTGTCTTCAGTGAGCTGATATCTCACAACAGACCTGGTTGAGCTCCACTGGTAACGGCTTCCCACTAGAACTTCAGGAGTATCTCCTGAAGTCAGTCACTAGTGACTGACCAGGTCTGTTGTGAGATATCAGCTCATTGAAGACAATGGTGTACGGTGGCGCAACTTCGGGGATTGGTTGAAGTTAGACATTAACACCGTTGGATGCCGGCTCAGTGGTCTAGTGGTTAAGTGCACGCGAGCGAAACCAGTGGGTCCTGGGTTCGAGTCCCGCGGGGTGTGGGATCGTGGATGCGCACTGCTGAGGAGTCGCATACTAGGACGAAACGGTCGTCCAGTGCTTCCAGGTTTTCCATGGTGGTCTAGCTTCAATTGGCTCATGATTTCAACCAGTGAAATTTCTAAATTCTCCACAAAACCCATTCTGACAATTTAAATCGTACATAAATCAAAGATGATGTTAGGCATATAAAAAAAATAATCAACAATTATAAACTGATATGTCATGATAAACAACACAACTAAAGATAATGACAACAACTACTAATGTGTAAAATTGAAAAAGAAAGTAGATATTATGCTTTACTTAAGTTAACTAAACGCCCAAAACTCCGACTTATGAGTTTGATCAGTAAAGTTTGTGTATGTACATCTATGAACACAGAGATGTGTATAAATGTTGTCTTATTTTATAAGAATGATATCAGTAGATAAGCAAAATTATAATTCACATTATAAAAAACATTAATTACATAAATGTTAAGTAATCAATCTAACCCCATAGTGATATATATTAAACGTGTGTTGTTGAAAAATCCCATAAAGTCACTAAGTATATAGTCTGAATTTTAATATCATATTTTAAGATCTTTTTTTCATCTACATAACTCAATGATTTTGACAACAATAAAATAAATGATCAACATTATAAAACCACTATACAAAAACAATAATACTTACTGTTACATTTGAAGCAATTGTTCCACAACAAAATAAAAATGTACGTGTATTTTTTTCCAATAAATTTGATGGTGAATAATAAGCCCATATATATGAACTAAATATAAGTAGTCCTGCAGGTATAAGAGGTCTAACTACACCCCATAATCCAAGACCACGATGCCATGGTTGTTTATTTGGACAAGTTCTTATAATATTCCATAATGTAATTGGTATATGAACAAAGTAAAGTGAAGCTATTCAAAATTCATTAATAAAAATAGAAATGAGAGTAAACTAATTTAAGGTTTATTATATTTAAAAATAGAATTACACTTTCTAAAAATATATGAACTTTACAATAGTAAACATTTACCACAATTGAAGAAAACATCGATTTCATTCTTTTTTTTTCAAGTTCATTGATTTTTCGAACTTTTCACAAATATGTTTTTTAATTAGTAGTTTGGGGTTATGGAGTCTGATAAACATCATTGAAATCATGCACAGATAAATGTTAGGCCACCATTAAAAATCAGGAAGCACTGAATGGCTGTTTCATTTTAATATGAGACTCTTCAACAGTGCGCACCCACAATTCAGCACGCGGGATTTGGATGCAGGATAGACAGTTATATACAGAAGACAATCGAAGATTGTCTCAGGGTATAATGGATTTGTCGAAGTTAGACATTAACACTGTTGGATACCGTCTCAGTGATCTAAACGTTAGGCGTTCGCGCGTGAGATAAAAGGTGCTAGATTCGAATCCTGCGTGCAGGACCGTGGATGCGCACTGATGAGAAGCTCCTTATTATGACGGTCATCTATTGCTTCCAGGTTTTCATTGGTGGTCTAACATTGATTGGGTCATGATTTCAATGAAAATCGAAAATCTTTACAACCCCTAACTGAAAATCATCTTATCGATTTTGGATTCTAGAGAAGTTACCAACTCACTGCTCTATGCCTCTTATATCTGTTTTCAAATGATATGATACCCGTGTAAACTCTAAATCTTCTAGAATTATCATATAATCCAACTTATCAGTCTCCGTACTACATACAATAAATGCCTTACCTCGCTATCTTTTTCAATTCCACTTTCCAATATCAGCCTGAACAAAAAAAGTGGTAACACATTTCACAAACGGGGATCGAAAAAAATAATAGTGGATAGATGACAAAATATCTAAACAATTAGACCGTTGTCATCTTGATGACTTCATATAGCTTTACTGATGTGATGTGGCAACTTGGATGCATGAACACATAATTTCCACGATTTAACATTGCTTATGAATGACTGAAATTGGCATTTGACAAACATGCTATGCTATATTCGTCACAATATTACAATAGAAACATATTTGAAAATTGTTCGGGTAATTAACTTGAGATACTATAATGAATAATTCAATTTTCCTAAATCAGTTCAAAAAATTATCATGGTAGAACAACACCAATAAACTGATGCATAAAGGAGATAAGTATTGAGTAGGTATTTATTTATTGCATAAGAAAAAAGGATTCGAATAAATGTAATGGATTATTAATTTATTAATCTTGATAAAAAAGTGATTTACTAAACGGATATGGTAATTTATATTTCGATGGTAATACGTATGTCAAGCTTTTATAAACTGTTTTATTCAATTTTTTCAAGTTAAATGTAATTATGCTGTATTTCATTGGTAGGTTCCGCAAACAGTTATTTCGTCCACTTGATTTTTCACTCATCAGATCTTCTAAACTTTGCGTATGTGTATTGATGTAACCCAGCTTTACAGTTTACCAGTTCTAGATAGTCCCTATCTTTATGTCTGCTCCCACCCTTACGTTCTCTGCACCACTCTTCAAATGACCTTATATGTAGGGGAGTGTTATATAAATAAGCAACCACCAAAAAATAAAAACAAAAGAGTGATTAAAGTTATGGATTATGATTACGCAATCTCATATTGTCTCTTAACCCGATTAATACGGATCTAAGCAGCTAATGAGAATCCAAGACGTCCAATTAGGCATGATTTATCGATCCACCATTTCGATGCGTAGAATTTTCTAACTTGAAACACAGGGATTTAGGTAAATAATTATTTACACGCATATGTAATGAATCACTTACATAGTAAATTCTTCATTGACTTGATATGTACCGAACATGCTTTCACCTCTGACCTTAAGTCTTACAATCACTACGTAGCCACGGCATGAACACATTTTTGATTTATCATTAAGTTTACTTGAACCTAATAGCCTGAATAATTTCTACACAAAAGTAGAGGTTACTAGCAGAGTAATCCAGAAGGCAAGCTTCCTGATAGTACAAACCAATCAAACGAATGTATTCACGACCTATCTTATTAATATGTCCAATGGTAAACAAACTCAAAGCCCATTATTTGAAAAGTTGGAAAATTATTCGTTAGGTGATGATTAGTACCTTTTACTTAATAACTGCTTGTTGTATTTGGAGCTCGTAACTTTCATTTGTTGATATTTTTAACGCTGAACCAAGCAGTCTTTTTAAGTATACAAGCACTTTGTACGAATGACGTTACATTACATATTTCTTGGCTACGTCTCTGACTATCAAGCTCGATTACTGCACGGATCCTAACCAGGAAGTCTGTACCATTAGACGTGAATTAAGCCATTTGATAACTTCGCAGACTGATTTCATGTTTTGGTTTGATCGTCTCTAGCTTTCAAATCACCCCTATTCCCATGAAATATGTTAGGCACATATCAATGACTACAGTTTGTGAAAATTTATGGCTTTTTCAATTGATTTATCATCTGTACCCAATGCTTTTGCCTAACCTTATCAATCCAAGGCTGAATTTTAGTAGTAAAAAAATACTAATCTTTAAAAAAGTAAGTTACATGTTTGAAAAATGATCTATTATATCGGTTAAGACAGCCAGATAGTATTAATAGCACTGAAATATACATTGTGATTCAAAGCTGGGTAAGAATATGCACTTGATTAACAAGTTACACAATAAAATTTGCCGTTTTTCAAAAAGCTACAAAAGCAAATAATTCAAGCATTGCTCGGTATTAAGGAAGAAGAATATATATGTAAAATCTCAGCGATTTTCAAATTTAGATGGAGGCTGTTATATATTACAAGTCATCCTAGAAACTAATCGTAAAATTTAGATATGGAATTTCGATTTTAATTACTCGGTCGTCGATTAGGAAACTAATTAACTGCCGCTTAAGCAATTCAAGACCATTTTAAAACTTAGTTATGGGAATAATACACGAACAAACAACTGACTACTCAATTACACTGGATATCACAAATATGCTGATTGATGATGAACATACCTTCTAATCAAAGAATCAACTAGCAAATAGAACTTATACATCATAACTAGAAATATTCTACTAGTAATAGGTCTCTGAAAACTTGAAATTAACTGTTCGATTAAGCCGAAATTCTATAAAATAGATATATAATTAGCTAAGTAAAATCAATTCGTAGAAATCAAGTTGCACGTTCAAAAAAATATATAAACTTTTACATTTGTGTGTAAACTTGGCCAAAATAAAATTCATCTATATCTAATGTAAAGTTTGCACAGAATGAACAATAAATAAAAAACAAGGTCATATACACAGATCAGTGAGTGTACATGAATATTGGAACTAGGCTACTAAGCTTGTTCACTACCGCATAAACATAAACCCGTGACTGACCACGTTCCAATGTTGTGTACAATATCCATATTCATGTACAGCTGTCTTGAAGTATATATATATAAACGAAATTAATTTTTAACGCTACTTACAAAAGAGTGTGAACTTGAAAATAGCTGCACTTGACCAACCAAATAAAAGTGGTTTCATAAAAATAGTAGGTGATCGCCAATAGGCGAGTAAGAATACCAGAGCAACCATCTAAAATTTGAAAAGACAATAATAATAACAACACGTAATAGAATATTCTTTTCCTGTTATCAAATTTTACATGTGTATCATATTTCTTTAACTAACTCAATTGAAATAAACAAATAAATCGATGAACTGAATAAATAGATATGATCTTAATTCAAACCAATATATACACAGCAACTATGCCGAACGTTTGTAAATTCAGGCTAAAATACCAATAAACAAATTCTGTTTTTAATTCAGTTTATTTATTGATAGCGTCCCAGAAATTTCAGTCTAGTTAGAGTGATAGGTGGTAAAAAGACTCGATTTCGAATTACAGTAACATATGACTTAGATTACTGAAGTATGGTTGTGAACACAATTAAACATTACATTCTTTAAAAGGATCTTATGATCGATAAAACTGATCAGTCATGATAGTGGGACATTCACGAAAAAGATTAATCTAACAAATTCATATTAATGTGAACAAGCAAAATTTAAAATGTTCACAATTATTACAATCACATGTAGTGTATTCAAATTTAACTGGATCATTATGTCGATCAGAAAATATTCAAACCAACCAAATAGTAGAAGCCTTACTAACCATGTACAATTACTCAGTTTGTAGCTCTATACTATGTATGTGAGTTATAGATACCATGTGGTTACTTTAATCGAATTAAGAGGACCACGGAACCAACTTGTGACAAACATATATATGATTAAATAACCTATACCTAGTTGAATAATCTATAAACGTACATAACACAATTAAAAATGATATAAAATAGATTTACAAAAGGTTTAGCTAACAAAAATTTCAAGTTCACCGGGAAAACTTTTAATTTACCAAAGAAGAATAAGGGCAATATTAGTGAAGAAAATTTCATTTCGATGACTTCATTGTACAGCTGAATTCATAGTTTATTTATTAAATAAAAATAGTAGTCTACAGTGATATAAGTGTTATGTAGTTCTATAAAATTGTTCATACAGATCAAATCATTGAAAGTAATTCACGTAATAACCCATCAAATAATTTTAAAAAATATATTAAGATGGTCTATGAATGAGTGATAATTGTTCACTCAATAAATATAAAGAACACAATAACTAAATGTAATAATAACTAATTAATGTTGGCCACAAAAATAATTTAAAAGGAGCCGAAAAAAAAAAGATAAAAAGGAAGATTAAGACCACGACAAAATAGGGACTGAATATACTGTTTTTGTATACAAAAATTACATTTGAATTTGTGGATAGCTAAACCCTTTGTCAAAAGCATAAGTTTCCAATATGTATTCCCTTTAAATCAATCCTTTTGAATATATGGATGATTATGAAAGAAGGTTCTGGTGAACCAGTATGGTCAGAATTAACTAGAAGTTTTAAGATTGTTTTTTTTTCGTCCTTTCAATAGCCAAAAATGTGTTTCAAAAGAGCTTGTTTTATGTGGTCAATATGATCTGCTTCAAAATAGGAAGTAAATTGATGGATGTACATTGGTTTGGTTCAAAACAGAAGCTTGTCATTCACACAAGTGCGAATCGAAGGCCGACTAGAAAGAGACAAAGTCTACCTGAATAGAATGGGTTTTTTTTCAGAGATCTAGAAAGTCTGTTGCCCAGAATCTCTGGTGTATGATCTTCAAACTGAATATTCATGAAGAGGATCTTTCTTAGCGTTAGAGACACGCTTTCATATTTTTGTTTTTGCTTCGAATTTTTCTCAATGAATCTGGATAGATATCTGTTTTTGGCAAGTATCTGCCGTAGTCTATCAAGTTTGATGTCAATTATATCATTTGCATAGACTTGTCTAACTTTCGTAAATAGAAAGTGGACCAGGTTTCTGTTTTGATTTAATGGGATCGAACTTTGAAAATTCGTGTACGAGCTACTCCAGGTAGACTTTTTATATAGATTTTTGTAATAGACTATCTAGTCTCTTTTTCTAACAAAGCAACCAGGTAGTGGAACTCTGGATTAAACTCGGATTCCACTCTGAAAATAATAACTGACGGCAACGACTGAACTTTTCTAGGATGTTGAAATCAACATTTTTGTCACAAGTATTGAAAGCACCATATAAATATCTTTTTTATGGACAGAAACTGTTGTCTGTTGTTTTGAGTATAATGTTTTCAGGATTGGGAACAAAACAGTCAGCTAGATGTGAGCAGTTGTGACCTCATCATTATGCTGTTGGTTCTGCATATAAAGCTCATAACTAAATGTCAACTGGACGTTGAAAGTGAATCAGAGTAGTAATTCCTTCAAATAGCATGTCGGAACACTGATATCAAGGCTTTTGTTTCCAATATAATTACATAGTAGGCAGATTGTTTCCGTGAGAGGCCCATTTGTAATGATAGAAGAAATATCCAATAAAATTACCTTTTTTTAGTTTCGTTGACATCGGGCATTGAATAAGTAAAGTCAAACAGATCAGCAGTGATTTGTTTGTTGAGTTAATTTTTGATTGATCATACAATCCCAGTCAGCCATTTAGCAATAGCATTAAATAGTGAGTTATTCATATTTAATGTAGGACGTTAAAGAATATCTTTCTTACGAACTTTAAAAAAGTCATACAATCGTAGAATAACGGACTTAAATGGTTTAGATTATTCATAGAGGTCTCCACAGATAACTGATTTATTTTTCATCCTAAGGATTTCAGTTAATTTTTGCTCTACTTGCCCCGTAAAATTTATTGAATATTTTTTCTTTAAGAAATTCGTTGGTATCAGTTTAAATGAAAGGATGCCTCTCAAGTTTAGTCTATTCGATTCGTGATGAAATGTCAGTATCCTTATTCACATTTAATTGGTTCTTTGAATAAGTTAATACATACATTTGTGCATGGGCATCCATGATTCTACTCAAAAACACATGGATTAATACCATAAAGAAATTACAATTATATAAGCATAAGAACTATGCGTTATCATTATTAAAGTTCAAATTTTGAACAGATACATTTATATTTTAAGGCTGTTCCTTTTAAAATCCAGTAATAATAACTAATCAGTATATTACTTCGCTGTTTTAAGAAGTAAACAGATAACGATTTTGAGGGTAGAAAATTTTACGTAAACAAATTTTCTTAGCGCACTTACCCATGAAAATGTACTTTTAGAATATTATTATTTTGTCACCAAACATCAAATTATTGTAGTTAAATAATTAGTACATGTATACTTGAATTTATGAGTTGATTAAAGCTAGACCACCATGGAAAACCTGGAAGCACTGGATGGCCGTTTCGTCCTGGTATGGAAATCCTCAACAGTGCGTATCCACGATCCCGCACGAATGATTCAACCCAGGACTTATCGGTCTCGCGCGCGAACGCTTAACCTATAGACCACTGAGCCGGCATCCAACTGTGTTAATATCTAACATCAACCAACCCACCATAGTCTTCAGTGAGTAACTTCCTCACAACAAAAACGGTTTAACTCCATTGTTCACGGCTTCTCCCTAGAACTCCAAGAAACACCTCTTGAAGCCAGTCACTAGTGAGCACATGATGATTATTATCAGATTGAGGGTTTTCGTGGAGATTGTTGTAATTTAATAGTTGAATTCACGAGTCACAATAAAAAACCTGGAAGTGGTCTAGAGGTTAGGCGCTCGCGCGTGAGACTGATAGGTCCTGGGTTGAACCACGCATGCGGGATCGTGAATACGCACTGTTGAAGAGTTCCATACCAGAACGAAACGGCCGTCCAGTGCTTCCAGGTTTTCCATGGTGGTCTAGCTTTAATCGACTCATGGATTCAACTACTAAATCACTACAATCTCCAGTCAGTCAGTTGGCTACAACGTAGGACCAGGCACATATGTGCATCGGTCCACTTTTCCATACCTCATTAGCATAAGATGAACACCGGATTCATAGAAGTAGTTGATTCAGTGGTGATAATATATAAAAACCACAATCTCCACAAACCCTTAATATTTGATCAAGGTCTACGACTACATGACTTAAATGAAAAATGAAAGAAAAAAAACATTAGAAACAATTATTGACAGTACGATCAATATTACGGTATGGTATTTTATTAATTGTGAATTTACACAACAGACCGGTAGGTATGCACATGAAGTATCTACTGTAGACTCAGTTCATACCGTTTACTTAGCTGTTAGTTTTTGAGAATATGCTATCTTAAATTACAACTTACAGAAATCAAATCAATGTTGATTAGGTTAAAATTCTTTTACAGTAAATTATCATTTCGTGTGAACATTATTTTCGGAATTTTAATAGATTTTTAAGATATTTCGAGTTAGTGATAAATACTCAGTTTAAATATTTTAATCTTTTTTTCACCGATATATAATCGAGGAAGTTTTATGTCTTTCTGAGTGGTTACACAAAATCAGCATCAAATAGCTTTATCTACAAAACTGGTGTTTTTACCCTAGTGAGGAAGGGAAAAGAACTACAATGAGTTAGTTTTTATTTCATGGTATTGAAATTGAAGTAACGCGAATGATTAACACAGTGGACGAACGTATCATATTTAGTGAATAAACCATGTTGCAAAATAAATTGAGTTCACTCAAAGCTTTTTATTTCAATGATCTGGTAGTAAAATCGAACTGCATTTCATCAACTCCAGCCTCAGTACCCAGCCAATACATATAAAAATGTAAATTAATGAGTACCCGGTAAATCAGAGACACGGTAAATGGATAAACATATGAAAACATATAGATTACTTACTATTTGACTTGTATCGAACGTCCAAGGTAGAAATAAGGTGCCCGTAATGTATTTTTCCCAATGGGATAGAAGAAAAGTGATAATTAATACCCACTGCCCCATAAACATTTCTCTCACAGTATAAATATTACCTAGCAATGAGAACATTGATCCAGCAAGAAAAAGACACACCCACGAATCGCATCCATGGTCAAATAATTCGCCAAGAGCCGATGATGACCTAGTTCGACGAGCCTGTTTTCCATCTGTACCATCTAAAGTGAAAAATTATTGTTCAGTTTACAATGTGAGGCGAACCTAAAGTATGGGCAATGAATACAAGGAAAGCGGTAACGAGCCAAACCCAAGTAGGAACATTGACTGTTGAGAAGAAAGTGGGATTATAGCAGCACAATAGGAGATAATGGGCCACAGTCAGAAGGAAACCAGTGAATGTTATGAGGTTTGGAGCTAGCCAAACAGGGTAAAACTACAAGCAAATATAACGACTTGTTAATGAATAGATAAACCATACATTTGCCAACCAATTCCAGAAGGGATGCATAACATATATTGAAAAAGGTGAATTGTCCACACACGAGTATTTATAATTTTTCAATCCGGATACCATTTGATCAGTTAGTTGGTGCATTTTTTTCAATTTTGTAGTTTGTATCCCAGTGACTTAATCGATAACAAAGACTAAAATACATAACATTAAAAGAGCTTATTACGTATGTATACATAATAAAAAGATTTCTTACAACTAACAAAACAGAAAGCAACATACTAATCAAGATAGGATAAACCTTCAACCAACCTTTACGTTTTATTCTTTATTGGATTCTAACAATATCACAAGATGCAAAATAGAAGGTAACAAGAAAGGAGTGCCACACTTGTTTGTGACACAACTTGTAGTTCATATGAACTTACTACGTAATTAAACCTGTTACCCCGAGTGGAGGACCATAGGTCGCCCATCAGCATTCTCCATTCAACCCTGTCCTCGGCAATCCTTTCCCGTTACTATTCATTCTTTTTACGTCTGCTTCGAATTCTCGACGCACTATGTTCTTTGGTCTTCCTCTTTACCTCGCATTCATTGACTTCAGGATTTCAAGTTGACACTTGCCTTGTGGTGCAGTTTAATGAGTTCCTCAATGAATGTCCTAACCACCTCCAGCATATTTACCTAATTTCTTTTTCAACTGGAAGCTGGTTAGTTCTACCCAATGTACTCTGTTGCTGATGGTATCCGGTAAACGGACACTCTATATTTTGCATGGACAATTATTTATAAATACTTGTACAAATTCGATGATGGTTGTTGTAGTTTCCCAAGTTTTAGCCTCATTCAACAGAACTATCTTGATGTTCGCATTGAAGATTGTGACTTTTTTGTTGGCTGACAGCTGTTTGGAATTCCACACGTTGTTCAACTGTAAGAATGCTGTACTTACTTTGCCGATCCTTGCCTTCACGTCTTCATCAGATCCTCCTTATTCATCGATGACGTTGTTATCCAGATACATGGAACTTTCCACCTCCAGAGTTTCACCATAAAGTGTGATTGCGTTAATTTTCTGTGTTGCATTTGAGGATCTTGGTTCCTCTTCTGTGTATGTTGAGGCCAGCTGTTGCAGAAGCTCCTGCCACACTAATTGTCTTCATCTGCATTTCTTGGTATGTATGGGATAGAAAAGCTAAGTCATTTGTGAGGTTCACATTGTTTAGCTACATCCAAACTGTCCATTGTATTTCGTGCTTCCCCTCAGATGTGGAGGTTTAAATTATTCATTCACTATTAGGTGGACTCCAAAAGAACGTTAAAAAAGTGGATTTTGTGGCATCCCAGTGAATGATCACAAGTACAACCTAGTTTTCAAGTTGTTGTCTAAGGTGATGAATACGAGTAGCCCCTTTCAGAAATATTGAGTTAACTGTTTTCATAACTTAACATCAGAAACAGTCCACGCACCACGACCATGTAGACTAACGGCTACATTTGGACATCATTGATGGAATTACGTCAGTAGGAAGAACTAAATAGTGACGATGATAATTACCTAGTGATCAACTAATGTATTTCTGGCGTTATGAATACAGTGGTCTTGGGTGCTGTTAGAGGTATGAGGGCGGTTATCACTTCCCGGTTGCCCACACCGAGGAAGGGTTCTTCTGGAGGTACCTGAAAAGGAAATTGGATTAGAGGCGGTCTCAGTGACCTAAGAGCGTGATTGCAGTGCCCAAGGGACAACTGCTTGAGGCCGGTCGCGCACGGCCTTTTCGTGGGAGGTTTTTGACGTGTTAGTTCCGTTTTTCAAAGGGCCTTACCGCCAGAGACGGATATCCGTGGGGTAAGGTGAGGTGTGCATTTTTAGGGTCGACCTTTTCTAACCCCACCCCTCCTTGTGGGAAGGCAGCATCGCCGTCATGCTGGTTGTCTGAAGTTAACACCTTACTGCTGTCACACCACTGTACAGTCAGTAGTACGACTTCGCCTTCGGACCTTGGGCTTGTTGCTTTTAGTCTTACCGCTCATCAACCGACCTGTCTGACATGGTAGGACCTTGAGGAGCAGTTGTTCCAGCCAGTATAGCTCGGTTGCTTCATCACGATAGGCAAGCCCGACCACCACGTCAAGGTAGCAACAACGGTACTATATCTCTATATGCAATCTTTCTCTTATATATTACCACCTTTGACCTAACCACTGCTATGAATCCGGTGTTCATCTCGTTGTGCTGATGCGGTATGGCAACCTGGACCGATGCACATATGTGCCTGGTCCAACGTTGTAGCTGACTGACTGACTGATTTCTGGCGTTACCAGTGACCTGAATAGCTAAATGGAAGCGTTTTAGCTGAAATCTCACATCTCTCCGAAACTCCGTGCACTTTTCATCGTTAAGTGCCAACTACAATGATACCTAGGTTCAGGGTTTTCTCCTAACCCCCGCTTACCACCCGATACACGTTATTATTTTATATAAAGCCGGTGTATATTACGTCTTATTCAGAAATGCAGGCAAAAGTATCAAACGGTTTGCAAAAAGAGGTTTGATAAGCGTTAGTCGTAAACAAATAATCAGGATTTTCACATTATAGATGTCTGATTACTCCATAAAGTTATCGACTATTGAACTGGATCGTAAGTTGAAATTAAGACTTTTAAGTACTCAGGTTGACCAAAACTAGCAGTAATAAACCTTGAGAAGGACGTGTTTCGAAATCCACAGAAATGACGCTAATGAAATTACCACCATTTATGCTATTATGAGTAGTATTTCTTCGCAACTCCTATCTTATATGGTCATTTTTCTGATCCCGAGTAGTATAATGACTAGGACATATAAATACTTAGTATCCCGCGACGAGACTATAATTTATGAACAAACCAACCACGTATATAACAGGTCTCGGATTTTGGCGCGAAATCCACATACTCATTTGGATAAATGGAGTTTTGGCTTTATAGCTGATGTCAGTTCGTGATGAAAACCCGAAATTTAATTCCTAAGCTTAATTTTCAAATGTAAACTATAACTCTAATTTCTCACAGGTTAATAACCATCATTTGCCCTTGGTTATTAAGTGAACACTTCCAAAAGCAGTCTAGCGTTGCTCAAAGGTCGTCCATGAATAATAGTCTCACTGGGAAATCCCTAAAATGTTTGGAGGATATTCGGGTTTCCCTCAATATCTTAACAGAATCTTTTAACATTTTCAGAATTTTCCCGAACTTCCAGTGAAACTACACATTTTTTTCAACTTTTGGGAAAATCCCGAAACTTACTCGAAGTTCTCCGGAATTTTCCCAAGATATTGAAATTGGGATATTTGAATCACAAAACTACACACGTTTCACAAACAATTGCATGACATGCTATAAGGGTCAGTAAGGCAGTTAGATTTATAAGTTAAATGTCGCCTAATAATATGAACCAAAAACTGACTAAGTAATATTGGAAAGTCATTACTGATATATTTAAATTCAGTTTACGCACTCGGTTAGCGCAAAGCTTTCAGCTTTATACCAACTTAGTTGCGAGATATGATTGGTGAAGAAAACTTAAAATGAGCTTACAAATAAGCGAGAATCCAGAGAAACCCAACCTATTAAAACTGCACGGACACTGGCACGTTCCGGCAACACTGAAACTGCGCACTCCGACTGTGACCTTGACTCGCAGTATTAAAAATAATTCGAATATTTTCACTGAACAGTGATGAAAAGAAACTTATTTTCATACTAATATATTACTTTTTGAACTATAACTTCTATATTTTAATATGAGAAGACGGTACCACGATGTTCAAATAATTTTTATACTTGAAGTCGTAGTCATTGTTTATGTCAACAGTACTGCTTCTATGCACCAGGCGAATCATGAAAAGCCATCGCATTGTTGAACTTGGCTTTAAAGCATATTGGCAAGCTCAACTCCACTGGACCATTTGGAGGAACTTGGTGATGTTTTGTCGGTCTATCCACAAATCGATATTTATTCGACCTTATCAAGATTAGAGATGATTGACCCATGTAGATTGAAAGAATACGGACTTACTGCAAGATGGTGTGTTGAATATGAGTGCCTCAGGAAGCAGATATCGAGGGATTCCTCTGTACCTCACTCTCTAAATAACGGCTGTCAGAAAACAGTTAGCAATCCTAGTTGTAATACTTTGTCTCTTCTTAGAAAGCAGAGTGACGGTAGGTAGTCTAACCAAGTAAGTCATTTAGCATTCTCTAGAATTTCGGAATAAGTATCGCACAATAGTATTTGAGCAAATGAGCGTCTACTCAACTAACTAGTTCTTCAAAATATCTCTGCGGTCACTATCAAATGTTTAAAGACATAGTCAACACAGGACCAGACACACAAATGTATCGGTCCAAGTTGCCACATTTCATTAGCGCGACGAGATAAACACCAAATTCATAGAAGTAGTCACTTGATTCGTAGTAATATATTAAAGAAAGTTTGTGTATAAGGATGTTATACAAGAAAGAATTAGTTCGTAGAAAGAAAGATATGAAATAATTTTAATCTCATAGTTTAAGGGAAGACAAAGAGTGTATGCACCTTCGCCATTGTGATCGATTCTGAGCCATGCCACCAAGAGTCGCCAAACATTGGTTAAGATAGTAATGCGGACCCCAACCATGTTGTCTGCATCTACCAACATGGCTTAGACAAGAAGTTAGTGACTTCAAGCACTGATGACATGTTTTGATTTGGCCGTCCTTAAATTTCTTCCAACCATTCCCAACATTAGTCAGCATTGCGCGTCGTGGTAATCGGTGTTCAGGCATACGCAACACGTGGCCCAACCATTTCAGTCGATGGTGATTCACTACCTCATCAACTGATTTACCATCATTCCCTAATACCCTGTGTCTGACCTCACTATTACTTACCTGATGATCCCACCGGATGCGTGAAATATTTCTAAAACATCTGTGATCAAGTACTGGTAACCTACGAATATCTTCGGCTCTTATTGCCCACTTTTCACAGCCATAAAGTAGAACGGAACAAACTGCCGCACAGTATACTCGTTCCTTAATTGATAGACGGATATCTCGCCTTCTCCAAGTGTGACGTAAGTTGGCGAAAGTCAAACGAGCCTTCTGAGTCCTCGCAATGATTTCGTCGGATATCAACCCTTCAGGGTTGATCAGACTTCCGAGATAAGTGAAGCTGTCGACACGTTCGACTACTTCAGACGATTAGAACGATATTTCCAGCAGTAAGTCTATGATGAAGCTGAACAAAGATAAAGATGGTAACCAGCCTCTTAGAATACCACTTGAGGTTCTTAAACTAGATGACAGTTCACCATAAGCTCTGACTCAACTAGTAGTGTTCGAGTAAAGAGCCTTTACAAGGTTTGTCTACTTTTAAGGTGCACCTCTCAATGACAGATACTGCCACAGAACTTCTAGTTCTACAGAGACAAATGTTGCCTTTATGTCAGGAAATAAAATCATTGTCTGATGTCGATAAACACTTCTGTGTTTTAATACCTGATGAACAGTGAATATGTGGTCTATGCAGCCACGATCAGGTCTGAAGCCGGCCTGATTTTCTAGTGTTTGCTGTTTACGAGTCTTAGTTAGGCGTCTGACAATTATTGATGCTAGTATTTTAGATGCCACGTTAGTCAAACTAATCCCTCTGTGGTTATCACAGGATGATTTCGACCCCTTCTCATATATTGGAACAATAAGTGATTGTGACCAGTCAGATAAGATTACGTCCAACTTTCAGATTTTAGCTAAAATATTGGTCGACCTAGTCTCTTTAATTGGAATATCATCCTTAAAGACCTCTGAAGCCAATCAATGTGAACTAGCTGCTTATCCCCATTTCAGATTAACTATAGCTTTTTGAACTTCAGGTAGAGTCGTGGGCTTACTTCAACGTTTCATTCACGCTGTCTGGGAATCGGGGTAGTTGTGGAGTTGATGAAAACCATCTTAACTGTTCCTTAAAATGTTCCACCCATCGTTCTAAATGTCTGGTCTGAGAGCAGATAAGAGTGTCGTTTTTTTCAGAGATAGTCTTACTAACAACTGACTTATTAATCCCGGTTTTTTCCATGAGCCTGAAGAGCTGTCTTGTGTTACCTACAGCCGCCGCTTTTTCCATCACTTTTGCTTTTGTTGCCCACCACTGCCCACGGTCGTTCCTTAGACTTTTGCTTATCCTAGATCTGATATGTTTACGCTCTTCGTCGTATTCAGAGCCTGATAGGATGAGTTTACGAGAATCAATCAGCTCAATAGACTTAAAAGAAATCCATCGGTTTTTTGTAATCCTCTGGTTTAAATTACCAACAGATATCACTGCTGTTTACACAGCTATTGGTATATCTTTCCAAGCAACATCTGTGTCAGCCTGTTCTCGGAACTACCTAAGTGTGACCTCAGTTGTTCCTGGAATCTACTTTTCTCTTTCTCGTCGCTGAGTTCAACTCTAATTGGTCTTCTTAATAAGGCTTCTCTGTGTATAGCAGCGGACAATCACTATTATCTGTTCGCTGTGCCGGACTACTAAAATACCTACTTAAATGTATTTCAGTTTGGTTTAAGCTACCCACTTGGGCATTAAAGTAACCTACTACGAGACTATATCTGAGTGTTTAGCTATATGAAGATGTTCAGATGTCTTTCTGCAGAATTCATCTTTCACTTCATCCGAGCCGCAGTCAATGGAGCGTAGGCAGAAACGACGAAACGGCAACGATATGTGTCCCTATCCTTTCAAGTTCTTACGGACCTGTTTGGCTGAACAACACATGGGCGACTGTTTTCAAGTATCCATTCCATAAGCGTTTGTCCTGCCTTCTTACATAATGCTGCGCCTACACCCATCAGTCCACGGGAAACTGCCGTCGAATCGGCAGGAAAACGGAGAGCATATCTCGTCAGCTTCCTGTTTCGGCAACATGAGGTGAATTGAATGACAACACTTGGATCCTGTATGCGTGTTCCGGAGACACAGAGTACATCAGTGGTACGAGATTCTAGAGTTTTAGCCAGGGAGGCCTGCTGATCGATTTGATATAGAGTGCGTACGTTGAAGGCTCCGATGTGTAGTTTGGAGCGAGGTTTCAGTAAACCTGGAACAATGTTTCGCGTACTAGATTTGTTGGCCATGGTGATACGTGAGGAGAGAGTTAAAAGAGAAAGCTTAGAGTGGAAAGTCGATGTAAAATGAACCACAGGAGTTGAAGAAGGAGATTGGTTATGAATACAGTGATCTTGAGTTCTGTTAGAGGTATGAGGGTGGTTATCACTTCCGGGTTTCTTACACCGAAGAAGGGTTCTTTTGGAAGTATCTGAGAAGGAAATTGCTTTAGAAGTGGTCTTGGTGACCTGAGAGCGTGACCGCAGTGCCCAAGGTACATTTATTCGATGCCGATCATGCACGGCCTTTTTGTGAGTGGTCAGTTAAATTATCTGGAAAAAATCAAATCAGTATTCTAAGGGGACTATTTGAAACTTAAAATAGAATAGACCTAGTACTTTATAGTGAGCATGAACTAAAGACAAAGTGAGTTTTGTCCGAAAAATCTTGTCGGTCTCTGATCGTATAGGAGACTTGGAAGCTAAAAAAGGATTAAAACTAAGATTTTGTGCTGGTGAAAAGGACCTTAGGGTTGTAAATTTTTATTTGGACAGGCTTCAAAAGGGAAACATGTTGGAGACATTTCAATGATTTTTGGGTCTATTACATAAATGTCTTGAGTTTGCTCAACGAGCTGCGTTTCCACAGGCCGGTTGTAATCGCCACCACGGAACATGGCTGACCAAGACTGTAGATAATATGGAACTTGAGTTTGAAACGGTCATATTGTTAAGCCCCGACAGAGCTATAAGTGTGAAGGGAGAACGGTAATTTTATGAATTAGAAATAATATCCCACTTGCCATTTTCAAAAACATATTTGATGGAGGCGCGGTATAAGGACTAGTTAGCTGATGTTTGAAAATCAAAAGACGAGGGCTAATGATTGATGTAGTCTACCGAAGTCCAAACTACGGGGTGAATTTTATCTTGCTGACCGATTTCAATACTTCATCTTCAAATGGTCGATATTTAATTTTAGGACACTTTATCGCACTTACTTTAGACTTGAAAAGTCTGAGATCTTAGTTGCTAGAAAACTGGTTGTAGAGATTATGGCCTTCACCCCAGTGTAAACTGTTAAAAACAAACAACTGGGTAGGAACCGGAATCTGAATCATCTTTATCAGATACCATAATCACCCATTGTGGGAATAATGGCATAAACCTAGATCGTATCACACACTACGCGAATGTGACTATGCAATTTCAATTTTCGACTTCTTTGTTGTTCTGAACAGCGGCTTGTTAGTTCGAGGCAGAACAAAATTTGGAAGGTAGATCTACGAGAAATTATGCACTCAGCGTTTTCGGCAGACTAAATAATAAAAACAAAATCTACTATAAAAATGGCTTGTAAGATCTTCAGGAGATTGTGTAGAAAACTTACAGGACCTCACGTTCCTTTAAATACACCAAGAGATAAATAAGTTCTCTGCCATATTTCAGTGAGTAGGGTCGTACTCTTTATTATAAAAGAAAGAGATTGTGGGAAAGTGTAATAATTAGAAGTATTCGTCTTCAACCTAACTTAATATTTAAGGTAATACGTTCCAT